CTGATGGTTCAATGTTTTGATCTGATGGTTCAATGTTTTGATCTGATGGTTCAATGTTTTGATCTGATGGTTCAATATTTTGATCTGATGGTTTAATGTTTTGATCTGATGGTTCAATATTTTGATCTGATGGTTCAATGTTTTGATCTGATGGTTAAATATTTTGATCTGATGGTTCAATGTTTTGGTCTGATGGTTCAAGGTTTGATCTGATGGTTCACTGTTTCCATCTGATGGTTCAATATTTTGATCTGATGGTTCAATATTTTGATCTGATGGTTCAATGTTTTGATCTGATGGTTTAATGTTTTGATCTGATGGTTTAATGTTTTGATCTGATGGTTCAATGTTTTGATCTGATGGTTCAATGTTTTGACCTGATGGTTTAATGTTTTGATCTGATGGTTCAATGTTTTGATCTGATGGTTCAATATTTTGATCTGATGGTTTAATGTTTTGATCTGATGGTTCAATATTTTGATCTGATGGTTCAATGTTTTGATCTGATGGTTAAATATTTTGATCTGATGGTTCAATATTTTGATCTGATGGTTCAATATTTTGATCTGATGGTTGAATGTTTTGATCTGATGGTTCAATATTTTGATCTGATGGTTGAATGTTTTGATCTGATGGTTCAATATTTTGATCTGATGGTTCAATATTTTGATCTGATGGTTAAATATTTTGATTTGATGGTTCAATGTTTTGGTCTGATGGTTCAATGTTTTGACCTGATGGTTCAATATTTTGATCTGATGGTTCAATGTTTTGGTCTGATGGTTCAATGTTTTGGTCTGATGGTTCAATGTTTTGGTCTGATGGTTCAATGTTTTGACCTGATGGTTCAATGTTTTGGTCTGATGGTTCAATGTTTTGGTCTGATGGTTCAATGTTTCCATCTGATGGTTCAATGTTTCCATCTGATGGTTCAATGTTTTCATCTGATGGTTCAATGTTTTCATCTGATGGTTCAATGTTTTGATCTGATGGTTCAATGTTTTGATCTGATGGTTCAATGTTTTGATTTGATGGTTCAAGGTTTTGATCTGATGTTTGAACGCTATCATCACTGTAATACAAAATACCAGCTTCAAGATCTGTTCCAGTCCCTTGTACAAGGTGCAGATATTGCACTGATGGTCTGATGGTTCAATGTTTTGGTCTGATGGTTCAATGTTTCCATCTGATGGTTCAATGTTTCCATCTGATGGTTCAATGTTTTCATCTGATGGTTCAATGTTTCCATCTGATGGTTCAATGTTTCCATCTGATGGTTCAATGTTTTCATCTGATGGTTCAATGTTTTCATCTGATGGTTCAATGTTTTGATCTGATGGTTCAATGTTTTGATTTGATGGTTCAAGGTTTTGATCTGATGTTTGAACGCTATCATCACTGTAATACAAAATACCAGCTTCAAGATCTGTTCCAGTCCCTTGTACAAGGTGCAGATATTGCAACGCCCACACTTTATATTTTCTTGATTTGTATAACAACTTTCTTTCTTTCGCTCAGCAGTACCTGTCTTGTAAGTTCTGCTTCTACATCTAGACGCAAACTACGCCAACCACTGAACAAGCAGTGGTGTACGTCTGCACATGTGGTCAGTGGTGGTAAACAGATGGTGGTAAACAGATGGTGGTAAACAGATGGTGGTAAACAAAGGGTGGTAAACAGATGGTGGTAAACAGATGGTGGTAAACAGATGGTGGTAAACAGATGGTGGTAAACAGATGGTGGTAAACAGATGGTGGTAAACAGATGGTGGTAAACAGATGGTGGTAAACAGATGGTGGTAAACAGATGGTGGTAAACAGATGGTGGTAAACAGATGGTGGTAAACAGATGGTGGTAAACAGATGGTGGTAAACAGATGGTGGTAAACAGATGGTGGTAAACAGATGGTGGTAAACAGATGGTGGTAAACAGATGGTGGTAAACAGATGGTGGTAAACAGATGGTGGTAAACAGATGGTGGTAAACAGATGGTGGTAAACAGATGGTGGTAAACAGATGGTGGTAAACAGATGGTGGTAAACAGATGGTGGTAAACAGATGGTGGTAAACAGATGGTGGTAAACAGATGGTGGTAAACAGATGGTGGTAAACAGATGGTGGTAAACAGATGGTGGTAAACAGATGGTGGTAAACAGATGGTGGTAAACAGATGGTGGTAAACAGATGGTGGTAAACAGATGGTTAACTCGACGTCCTCTAACAAAGTAACAGGCAATCGGGGGGGGGGGGGTATTTTACCACACATTTTGCACTACTTATATTTACTGATGGTTTCAATACATAATATGATCCATGCTTTTGTTTATAGTTTTTTTAAGTAGTTGCATCAGCTGCGTCAAGTAGTAATGTGTGTTGCGACAGTTTCTAGTTCAAGTCACGCAAATCCAATGTCGCACAGAGTGATGTGGTCGAGTGTTAGAGTACACGAGTAAGCTGGGCACTCGGTTCAAATCTAGGTTGGTAGAGGCGGCTTGTATAGCACTAACCACTGAATCCCTTCATGTGCCGAGGATATAGAATCAAATCTAGTCTGGTAGAGGCGGCTTGTATAGAGCTAACCAAACAATTTCTTCATGTGCCGAGGTTATAGAAACAGATGAACTCTACTTTATCTGCGTTTAGGATTTAAGATACGATACAAAATGTATTTTAATTTGACTTGTACAAACGTTAAGTTGAAAAGAATCTAATTCAGAAGCAATGTTTAGATTCTTTCATAAAAGTTTTATTTTTAAAACATGTAAAGTTAAATTGAAGTAAAAATAAACATTTCATAAACATTTATCCAGGAAATCATCTTCTTAAAACGGAAGACCAATGCATGTCAACATTTTGATATTTACAACAATGTGGTGGGGTGGATAGAGCACACGGATGATAACCTGAAAGTCTCGGGTTCGGATCCCTGGCTGGAGTCTCTAAGACGTCCATGAGTCAACCCAGCCACTATGAGTACCTGACTTACGTTAAGGAAAGTAAAAGTGACTAAGTATAATGCTGACCACACTATTCCTTTATATGCCGTGATCACAAAACATAAACGATAATTCCAATACAAACTGGTCTATTAAAGAACACTGGTACATTTGTTTAGGTAGATTTGTTACCCGAGCCCTACCCATAAAGCTGTACACACCGTGAACCCTACCTATAAAGCTGTACACACCGTGAACCCTACCCATAAAGCTGTAGACACCGTGAACCCTACCTATAAAGCTGTACACACCGTGAACCCTACCCATAAAGCTGTAGACACCGTGAACCCTACCTATAAAGCTGTACACACCGTGAACCCTACCCATAAAGCTGTAGACACCGTGAACCCTACCTATAAAGCTGTACACACCGTGTTAACTATAGGCCAGACCCAACTTCAGGTCTAATCCTCCACAAAGCCAATGTTCGTGTTAAATCTATTGATACAAGACAAAATTTATACCATCACAGCCCTGTGCTGATCATGGGACTATCCTGGACAAATGCAATGTTCGTGTTAAATCTAGTAACACAACACCAAAAGTATACCATCACAGTCCTGTGCTGCTCATGGGACTTGTTTAGGACACACAAAAAAATAAGCACAAAAATATGCTTTCTTGTAACGATGTGGCAAAAGAGTAGACCTACTTGTGACGATTTATTATACAGAAATATGCGTTCATGATTTGATAAAAACACGCGATACAGTACGTAAAACCATAACTTATTCTAGCTACACCGTGGAAAAAATTCTATTGACACCGGACAAATTGTGTATAATAAAATCCAGCTAGGAAACGTTTGGCGGAGTTTTCAATTAAAAAAAGGCAAGTAATGGGTAATTGACAAGCTGTAAGTACATTTAGCAACACACTGTTTCTTCTTCTTCTTCTTCGTTCTTAATTTTTAGTGTTGGAAGGGATCGAGCTTTATCTGCCAGCGGGTTGAACTCGAGACGTTTTACGAATTTATCAACCATGAGCTTTTGCCGACTCGACCACGCCTCCAACACAATTAAGCGTTACGTGTCAACTGGTTATGCGCCATTGAGGCCATTGACTCCGATTTCAGTCTGCTTTACTTTTTCGATTTGCTTCCATAGCCTTTGGTCAACCAAGAACAAACTACAAAGCAGCAGTTGTCTCTCATAGAAGAGTTGCTGTAGCTAACGAGCCTCATCTGCCCGAGGGTTTGAACTCGAGACTTTTCGGTTTAGCAACCATGAGCTTTACCGACTCGACCACGCCGACCCCTAACACATTGTTTAACATAATGTTTTTGCAATAGCTATTATAATTGTTTTCAACTTGTATATGTTTATAGAGCTTATATCAGGCGGCCCCTTTATTCAAACATTTTTATTATGGTTAGGCTTCGGTATTGGTTATTTACCACAGTGGTGTTAAGTGTATACATTTAAAGTTTTCTGTCTGAACAAATATATTGAAATTGTCATCTTTCTGGAAACAATAGGGTTTTAGCATGTTACTTTTTAAGTCAGGCAATTTTCCAAAATAGACGACATAATAAGCTAAATAACAATCCATCCAAGGGACGTTATTGCTTATCCAAATTAATTCTAAAATATAAATTCTGTCATCGTATATCAAGTAGACAATGACAGTATAAATTATGGATATTATCAGTGAACACATTGTGACATAGCTCTCTTTAGAAACAATGTTTCTAGATATTTTTCTTCTTGAATGGTGTAACATTTTGATAATGGAGTGTAAGTTGTACCAAGATTGTCTCAATTGTGTGGTTTTTGTGCGGGTTGGTGCGGGTTTGAGAGTTGTATGGCCTGGTAAGAGTTGGATAATTGTGTGGGTTGTTGTGGCAAATGTTTGGTAGGTCTGTGTGTTGGTATGGCTATTTTAAAGTTGTGTCTTTTTGAGTGTGTTGTCAGTATTTTAGTGGGAGCAGACATCAACACACGTGTCAGTGTTAGTGTCAGCGTAGTGTTAGTGTGACTTCATCTCTAGCAGAGTATCGTTGCAATCTACACACGTGTCATTGTCAGTGTGACACCATCTCTAGTAGAGTATCGTTGCCATCTACACACGTGTCATTGTCAGTGTGACACCATCTCTAGCACAGTGTCGCTATCGTCTCTGTCCTGCACGTTCTTTAGCTGCTGCTGACTGCCTTGTGATGCCTGGGCATTGTGCCCTCTGTGGACGTCCCTACTCTGCAGCGTCTGGGCATTATGCCCCCTGTGTACATCACCGTCAGAGGCATCGCTCTCGCTGTGCCCGCTCTCGTGCCCGGGGGTGCCGTCTGAGGAATCAGGGGCGTTAACTCTGCTGAAGTTACTGCTTGGGTTGGACCTCATGGACACCAGGTCTGGGGGTCGGTAGGGGAGGGGAGGGGGGCAGTCAGACAATGACGTCAGATCTGGGGGTCTGTAGGGGAGGGGAGGGGGCGAGTCGGATAATGACGTCATCAGGAAGTCTTGTTGGTAGGTATCCTGGTCGACATGCGTGGGGTCGTGGGGACGGAATCGGGGACTCGGTTCCGTTTTCCGCGGGGGGAGAGGGGGTGGGTGGGCGGTGAGGGGTTCCAGGTAGTCGTTGTTGTAGTCGATGTTGTTGTTGTTGTTGTTGCCGTAGTCGTTGTTCTCTGCCGCGGCCGAGCTGAGGCTGAACAAGACGCGGGAGGATTGGTTGAAAGGTTCCGAGATGCTGATCTCGTCTTCCGTCCACTCGCCCGAGTCGTCGTCGCTCGTCACGCTTGAGTGACTCCCGGGGTGGGGGCGGGGCAGGTTGTCCCCGTCCGCCGCGGGTTTGGGTCGGGGCGGAATGCGAGGGGGCGGCAGGCCCGGTGGAGTTTTAGTGGTGGAGCGAGAACGGTGGAGTCTGTATCTGTGGGCGCCACGTTTAGACAGGTAAAGGCCGTACAGGGCTTTGTTATGTCGACACACGAAGATACAAATGGCGATGATGAAGGGGGCCAAGATTAACAGAACTGAGCCTATTATGACGTAACTTAATGTGGTCAACGTGTTGGCTTCCACCCACCCGTCCTGTGTGCCCTCGACCCGATCCACAATTTTAAAAATCCTTTTTAATCTGTAACAGTTGGTCACGTGATTCGCGTAACATTCGCAGGTCATGGCGAGTTTTTTCAGAGTTGCCCCGCCTGGGATGTTGAGAGTCACAGAGTTCGTAAAATCCCCAACTGTGTAGGTGTAGTTAGGGCCCGTACACGACAGGTTGGTGTAGGATACAAAGGGGTGACCGCCCGCCACGGTACACTGCGCGGTCAAATTTTCACCTTTCGTGACGTAGCTTCCGGTGACGCGCGCGCCGTTGATGTATGTTTCAGGTGCGACACCCGGTGGCCAGTTTAAGTCCAGCACCTTGGTGCCGCGGATGACGTTCTCCCCGAGGGCCGAGTCGCTGTACCTGACGGAGCAGGTGGCTGATTTCCCGGCGTAGGTTGTGTCGACTAGCAGCGAGAAATTCGCAGTGACCTCCAACAGTTTACGATTCTCGTCCAAAGTTCTGCTCATTCTCTGGCTCGGAGTTTCTACTCCGTCTACGATGAGTTCGAAAACAGTAGCCGCACTGTTTACCAAATTCGCCTTACATGTAAGTGTAATCGGGGTGAGATTACCAGGGCAGATATTACCTATCAGTGGTTGTTCTATGGTTACCTGCGGTATGCGCGTAACATAAACTTTACGGGTAAATATTACAGCTGTGTCGTTAACATTCTTAGCAGCGTAGCCTGGTACGACCTTGAACTTGAAGGAGTGCTCACCGATCACCCGGGGTCGGATAATCTGCTGACAATATGCGTTCAATAATCCATTACCGCGTCTTGTTTTGCAACTCATCTCTCCATCACCAACATAATTCTCGGCGACCGTTTCTTCATAAAAGCATGTAACATTTGGGTAGACGTTTGTAATGTTACACCATAATAAAAGATTTCCATCATCAAGGGATGTAACATCGCATCGTGTGTTATCTCCCTTTTTATACACAGCCATTCGGCAGGACAAAAACACGTGGGAGTTATCTCTCAAGTCCCACAGCTCACATTCAAATATGGCGTCGTTCATCTCCCGAGTGACATTAAGTGTTCTCAGAGTGCTGTTGTAGTTTAGGGTGTCGATGTTGTTGCTGGCCGAATAGGTTTTTTTGTCATTGGTTTCACACGTCTTCACATCAGCTTTACATGTCGTGATGGTAAAATCTTGATTGTTTGTTTTTACTTTCCATCGAATGAAACTAATCGAGGAGTAAAAATAAAATCATTAAATATAAATACAAATGTAACGCTTAGATCACGTACTATAATGTAGGTGCAGGTCTAACTATTTACATCAAGTGATTGATTACTCGGTCGGCATGTATGTCATATGTATTTATTGCATATTTGGGTACAGTTACAAAGAAGGGTTATACTTATTATAAACATTAGATTTATCACTCTAGCTTATAATGAAGGACTGATATACCAACTTAGACGACTACCAACAGCCTACTTTCAGAATACTTTGTTTTACACTAAATACAACCAACATCCTACCTTTCAGAAAACTTTAAATACAACCAACATCCTACCTTTCAGAAAACTTTAAATACAACCAACATCCTACCTTTCAGAAAACTTTAAATACAACCCACATGACTTAAATGAAAACATCCCAAGGAGAGTAAAAAGAAGCATGTTTGCAGACGACCTTTCACTAATCAGCACAGAGGAATATATTGGTACCTCAAAATTTCGTCTTCAAGAAACACTTGACAAGCTCGGCAAATGGACCAAAAACTGGGGCTTATCCATCAATACCAAGAAAACAACTTATTCAATCTTCACCTTATCAACTAAACATCAAAAAATGAAACTTACCCTAGAAAACCAAGAGCTAGAAAAAAATGACCACCCCAAATACCTAGGAGTCACTTTTGACACTCGACTTACCTGGAGAAAACAAATAGAAAACACACAAAGTAATGGGATCAAAAGACTTAATCTAATGAGGAAACTGGCAGGAACAGACTGGGGAGCAAATCACCACATCCTGAAAAAAACCTACACCAGCTATGTGAGACCTACGTTAGAATATGGTGCTTCGGCTTGGGGCTCAGCAGCAAAAACAAATATTAGCAAAATTGACAAAGTTCAGAACATTGGTTTGAGAATAATGACAGGAGCCATGAAAACAACACCCATAAAAGCTATGGAGGAAATAGCCGCTCTTAGCTCAATAGAAGAAAGAAGAGAATAAAAAATCCTCACTCAATACACAAAGCTAGAGGCACTGGAAAACCATAACCTAAAAAAAAACTCCAGAAACCCAGTCCATCAACCAGACTACAAAGAACAAGTTTCATCAAAGAAGCAAAGAATCTGAAAAAGAAATATGAAATCGAAAATATCATTCCTGAAGCAATAAAAACTCAAAACCTCTCCCCGCCTTGGATCTCCACTGTCACTTAACCATTATTGACTCAATAGACACCATAGGAAAAAAATCTGACTATGATCTAGAAGAACTTAAGAAAATAACAAATAAACACATTAAGGATCAGTACCCCAGCAATACCTGGATTAGAGTTTTCACAGATGGCTCAGCTGAAGATGCCACAAAAAATGGCGGGGCTGGCATCCTTATTGAATGGCCAAGCGGAGAAAGCCTGGAAAAGGCAATAGCCACAGGCAGCCTATCCGACAATTTTAGGGCAGAAAAAGAAGCTTTAGAACACGCAGCAAACCTCCTGTCAGAACACCCTGAATCACCGAATAGTCAGATTGTATTTCTTACAGATGCCAAATCAGTCCTGCAATCCCTACAAAATCCAGAGTCCTATATTCAAACACGTATGACAGCACTAGAGAGGCTAAAAAATACCTGCAGCAGAATTGTGCTGCAGTGGATCCCGGGCCACTGCCAGATCCAGGGTAACGAGATCGCAGACCAGCTGGCAAAAATTGGGGGAAAGAAACCACAACCGGAAATTTCGCTACACCCAAAAGAAATAAAAAGAATTATAAAAAAAAAACCGCAAATGTGGTCTGTCACACACCCTCACTACATTAAAGACGACGGCTATTATAATTTAACACGAAAACAACAATACATTATCTTTCGACTTAGAACAGGCCACAACAGACTAAATCAACACATGCACAGAAAACTGAAGGTTGGGTGTAGCGGGATGTGCCCTTGTGGCAAGGCCCCGGAAAACACGGAGCACGTACTCCAGGAATGCACTTTGTATAGCCAGGCACGAGACAGACACTGGCCCCAGCCCACCCCACTCAGGGAAAAATTATATGGGGCACCTGACAAACTGGAGACCACAGTCCGGTTTGTCCACGAAGTTGGACTTGTTGTCTGAATCCTCCACCATATACAAAATTAAGAACGAAGAAGAAGAAAGAACCCACAGCCTACCTTTCAGGAACACCTGCTTTCCTCAGCGAGCCTACACAATTCAGCGTGTAAGGTTGTCCTTCCTCCGCTACTGGGCAGATTGTCTGCCCCCGACACACACAGATGTGGTGGAGGATCTTTAGGAGGACAAGGACAATAACTCGTGTGTTCATTGTGGGCAAGCAATTACTGTAGCAACCAGAGTTCACGTTCCTGAGTTGTTCTTTAGCAACCAGAGTTCACGTTCCTGAGTTGTTTTTTAGCAACCAGAGTTCACGTTCCTGAGTTGTTCTTTAGCAACCAGAGTTCACGTTCCTGAGTTGTTCTTTAGCAACCAGAGTTCACGTTCCTGAGTTGTTCTTTAGCAACCAGAGTTCACGTTCCTGAGTTGTTCTTTAGCAACCAGAGTTCACGTTCCTGAGTTGTTCTTTAGCAACCAGAGTTCACGCTCCTGAGTTGTTCTTTAGCAACCAGAGTTCACGTTCCTGAGTTGTTCTTTAGCAACCAGAGTTCACGTTCCTGGGTTGTTCTTTAGCAACCAGAGTTCACGTTCCTGAGTTGTTCTTTAGCAACCAGAGTTCACGTTCCTGAGTTGTTCTTTAGCAACCAGAGTTCACGTTCCTGAGTTCAGTGACTGATCTGAAAAGTCGAAGATTAAAATATTTTGTACTTTAAGACCTGACGCAAGTGAATTAAGGAGGTGATAACTAGCGTAGATCGCCCTTGTGTTAGCTAGGCATACAAATTCGACAGTCGAGTGTTACCTAAGGTCAGTCATTACACCTAGCACAAATGTGTATTTATGTATTCAACACAGACTGCAGAGAAAGACTTTGGATACACCGTCAATTCGTATGCCGTGACAATGGAAACACACTGACTCTACTTCGCCTATTTTTTCTTATCTACATCTTAAAACGTGTATCTTTTACGTTTATCAACTATTCTAATTAGTAATCAGTTTCGTATAATTAAGTCACTAAAAATATAATTAGGCTTCTGAGATTTAAAACATCAGATGAACAATCTGATTGTGAAAATTCAATGTAATCGTTGGATATAAATTTCGTGGATTTAAGCCTGTAGGACATCTATGAGTTCACCCAGCTATGATGGGTACTTGACTTGAGTTGGGTAAATTGTATGTCATCAAAAAAACAATAAACAATAAAAAACAATAAACAAAAACAAAACGCCTAATCTGCTCATATGATCGCTAGTACTGAAAGGTGATATTTTGTACTTTCAAAATTAGAAAAACCTGATTTTAAAAATAGCTTTATGTTGAAATAATTTTCACATCGATATTAAAAATTAGTTTTTTTTAAATTAGTACATAGGAAACTAGAAGTTAATTACCATAGACCTATTCTCTTAACTGCAGTAAAGATGTCATCTTCGAGTTGACGTCTTGTACTCCATTTCTTCAACCAGATTGTAAAGGGTTAACACACAGGATTGTTGTTAACCAGATTGTATATGGTTAACTCAATACCTTCAACCAGCTTGTGAAGGGTTAACACATTATTTTTGAGGATTGTCTGCGGAAGTCAGCAGAAAGCTAAAATTAGAACAACCAATGTTTATGAAATCAGCTGGCTATTACCAGATCGAAGGGTTCAGGGTTCAAGGTTCAGACGAAAGGATGAAGGAAACGAATCTCTACGTGCAGGAAGTGAAGTCAATGTGGACTGGGTGACTCATCATTTCAACTTGATATTGGGGCGTTTAAAACTTGGTTGAGTGTTTGGTTGTTTGCTGTTGGTTGGTTGACGTTAGGTGTGGGTGGCGGTACGGTGGGGTAAAGAATGGTTGGTGTGGGGTATGGTGGGTGTGGGGTATGGTGGGTGTGGGGTATGGTGGGTGTGGGGTATGGTGGGTGTGGGGTATGGTGGGTGTGGGGTATGGTGGGTGTGGGGTATGGTGGGTGTGGGGTATGGTGGGTGTGGGGTATGGTGGGTGTGGGGTATGGTAGGGGTGAGGTATGGTGTGGGGTGAGGTGGGTGGGGATGAGGTATGGTGGGATGTGATGTATGGTAGGGGTGAGGTATGGTGTGGGGTGAGGTGGGTGGGATGTGTAAAAAATGCATATGCTTTATGTGACGTACATTCATTTGGTACAAGAATGTATTTCAAATTTAAGAAATATTTGACACGGAAAAGAAACAAATAGGCCTATATTAAACAAATAATGTAGTTATTTCGCTTTAAGTAGGCCTATATGCAAATAAAAAAACAAAGCGAATAAACGACGAACTATTTATTTTTTATGACTAAACATTAAACATAAATAAACTGGGAATGATCTCCCCTAAACTTTCTTGAATATTCGTATATAGCACTACTGGGAAAGACAACTAGGGATAAAGGCATGATTTTAATCCATTTTTAATTGCTTCCGAAGTCCCATTTCTGTTTATCGGAAATCGCTGAAAAGTTGATACAGAACTACACATTTGATATACTACTTTTATATGAAATTTCATCAACCTATGTATGACGGTACTCAAGTTTTCGTGTTTACAAACACACACACACACACACACACACACACACACACATACACACACGGACAGAATTGCAAAACGCAGCATTTCTGACTCGATTACGCATACAACGCCGAAATTTTGATAAATATGGATTTAGAATTTTCGCCCGATTAAAATAACACCCCTATACTCCGTGTGTGATGAAGTACTGATTTGTAAAACGGTGAAAACTGTCAAATTTTCATGTGATTTTTGTGCACGATTACATATATATTATATATATATATATATATATATATATATATATATATATATATATATATATATATATATATATATATACTCTGTATACGTGAAAGTAAACATTCCCAGGCACTGAATATATAAATTCACATTAATTGCATATTTTAATCATATACAATATAGATTTGAAGACTGCATCAAACTAAATCAAAATGGCATAGATAATTTGAGCATCTAAGTATTGTGTGATAAGTAAAATATGGCGGTCATTTGATGAAATGAAGGATGTGCAGCATTTTCAAAACCGTATCTTTTAAGATAGAGAATTCTGCTCAAAACATCGCCACATTTGACTTCTAAAGTCTAAAGTGGATTTTTATTTCAACCCCACAATATTGAATTTATAGTGGCTTAAGCTTGCCGTTTCAATGCTACATTTGTGGCTAACAGTTCTCGATAGTTCTCGAAGTGGGGAAGGGGGTGGGGGGGGGGGGGGGGGTTCGTGTCGATAGTAAGTGGTTAATTATTTGAACAAACTTTGTGTTTATAAGTCTGTGGTAATTGCGCTTGATGAGAAAAGTCATTAGCGGAAACTAATTAATGAGAAAAACACATTTGTTGAGGTCAACAACCAAGGTTGAAGTCAAGTGGGGCACAAGTTTCTTTTCTCGAAATTTTCAGACCTGAACATTTTTATATTAAATTTTCTCGAAACTTTCAGATCTGAACATTTGTATATTAACTTTTTCTAATTCTTATTAAAACTTTAAAAAAAATTCTGACAGTTATAAGCAAAAGTTAGTGATGGGGAGGTGTAAGTTTTAGGTGGGGTATCACAGGACTGATTAAAATTAGTTTAAAATGCAGAATTAAACCTTGTGTGTTTTAAAGATAACTTTACAATAACGTACTTTATCAAAAAAGGTGGAGACTTCAACGTTTTCTAAAAAAATTTATTGTGGTTTTGTGTGTACATCTTGTATTTTATATATTAGATGTTATTGTTTAAAAAAAAAGAAGAAAAAAACCCATTAGATTAATTAATAATTTACAATACAAAATTAAAAATCGTTGACCATAATTTATTGCTGGAAGGATTGGTAGGTTAATTAATGCCACGCTCTTAAAGTGTTAACTATAATCTACTACTGGAAGGATGGGTAACTTAATTAGTGCTACACTCTAAAAGGGTTGACCATAATCTATTGGTGGAAGAGTTAGTGCCCATCATTTGATGGAGCTGGTATACAACAATATAATTGTTGGAAGATTTTGTTTCAGATAATGACTGCAGGTGCTTGCATTATATTCTTCAGCCTGTAACTAGTGAGTACAGTAACTAGTGAGTACAGTAACTAGTGAGTACAGTAACTAGTGAGTACAGTAACTAGTGAGTACAGTAACTAGTGAGTACAGTAACTAGTGAGTACAGTAACTAGTGAGTATAGTAACTAGTGAGTACAGTAACTAGTGAGTACAGTAACTAGTGAGTACAGTAACTAGTGAGTACAGAAACTAGTGAGTAGAGTAAGTGGTGAGTACAGTAACTGTTGAGTACAGTAACTAGAGAGTACAGTAACTAGTGAGTACAGTAACTAGTGAGTACAGTAACTAGTGAGTACAGTAACTAGTGAGTACAGTAACTGGTGAGTACTGTAACTAGTGAGTATGGTAACTAGTGAATACAGTAACTAGTGAGTACAGTAACTGGTGAGTACAGTAACTAGTGAGTACAGTAACTAGTGAGTACAGTAACTAGTGAGTACAGTAACTAGTGAGTATAGTAACTAGTGAGTACAGTAACTGGTGAGTACAGTAACTAGTGAGTACAGTAACTAGTGAGTACAGTAACTAGCGAGTACAGTAACTAGTGAGTACAGTAACTAGTGAGTACAGTAACTAGTGAGTACAGTAACTAGTGAGTACAGTAACTAGTGAGTACAGTAACTAGTGAGTACAGTAACTAGTGAGTACTGTAACTAGTGAGTACAGTAACTAGTGAGTACAGTAACTGGTGAGTACAGTAACTAATGAGTACAGTAACTAGTGAGTAGAGTAAGTGGTGAGTACAGTAACTGTTGAGTACAGTAACTAGAGAGTACAGTAACTAGTGAGTACAGTAACTAGTGAGTACAGTAACTAGTGAGTACAGTAACTAGTGAATACAGTAACTAGTGAGTACAGTAACTAGTGAGTACACTAACTAGTGAGTACAGCAACTAGTGAGTACAGTAACTAGTGAGTACAGTAACTAGTGAGTACAGAATCTAGTGAGTACAGTAATCAGTGAGTACAGAATCTAGTGAGTACAGTAATCAGTGAGTACAGTAACTAGTGAGTACGGTAACTAGTGAGTACACTAACTAGTGAGTACAGTAACTGGTGAGTACAGTAACTAGTGAGTACAGTAACTGGTGAGTACAGTAACTGGTGAGTACAGTAACTAGTGAGTACAGTAACTAGTGAGTACAGTAACTAGTGAGTACAGTAACTAGTGAGTACAGTAACTAGTGAGTACAGTAACTAGTGAGTACAGTAACTAGTGAGTACAGTAACTAGTGAGTACAGTAACTAGTGAGTACAGTAACTAGTGAGTACAGTAACTAGTGAGTACAGTAACTAGTGAGTACAGAATCTAGTGAGTACAGTAATCAGTGAGTACAGTAACTAGTGAGTACAGTAACTGGTGAGTACAGTAACTAGTGAGTACAGTATATGCCTACTCAAAGCGAAATAACTACATTATTTGTTTAATACAGGCCTATTTGATCTTTTCCGTGTCTAATATTTCTTAATTTCGAAACACATTTTTGTACCAAATGAATGTACGTCACATAAAGCATATGTATTGTGCACGTGCTTGACCTCAGTGTGAGAGCCGTCTGCTCATTAGGACACACTTTGCACGTGAAGTGTGAGCACTGAGTGAAACATGAGTACAGGAACAAATTGACAGGAGACTGGGAATGGAATGGCCGTTAGGAAATCTGCATAATGAATTAGGGTCAAGAAAAGTGGGAATGGAAGGGTGGTTTTAAGAAAAGTGGGAATAGAATGGTGGTAAAACAACTTGGTAGTATTGTAAAATAGACCAGAATTTTATAGTAAATACAATTTTTACTGGCAAATAGAATGTTTTCTTATAATTTTTATATTACACTGAGCTAATTGCTATGTTTATTATATGGAGCTGGCTACACATCATTTATGGCATATATACATACACATATATACATTTAAATGATGTGTTTATGACATGTATGTCATATATAAATAAAACTTATATTACATGTACACAACATTATTTCCGATTTACGCCATACAAATGTCACACATACACACATATTACCACCTGGTGTAGACATACATAACCAACATAACACCTCGCATAACACCCACACTCTTTAAAATGACCATACTAAAATTCCTTCTCATTTAAAAAAAGATTAAAATTAGAAGATCTAATCATCAACTGTTTGCTAGAACTAATACAACATGACATGTCGTATATTGTAAGCTGGAACTAATACAACAAACCATGTGGTATATTGTTGGCTAGAACTAATACAACAAACTATGTGGTATATTGTTGGCTAGAACTAATACAACAAGCTATGTCGTAGGCTACATTCTTTATACAGAAATCTTGTCCAGTGTGTACATTGATATACTTTTCTATATTT